ACACACACACACACACACATACACACACACACACATGCATGCACGCACCCACGTACGCACACGCACGCACACACATGCACGCGTACACACACATAACTACATTACATGCATACACACGGCACATACGCACACACGCGCACACACGCGCGCACACACACACCTTCCTTCCTTCCTCCTTCCTTCTTCCACTGCCATGACTGGTTACGTGGCCCCATAAGGGGCAGACCAGGAGACGTGTTGTACACAGGGCGGGGAACGCCAGACTCAGCGCTCGCGCGGGCTGCACGAACAGCGTTACATTTGTGCCTCACAATATCCTGTGGCCGACGAAAACTGCGCGCACAAGTGCCACAGATGAGGGGCTTCGACACAGGCTCCATGCGGAACTGGACAATAGCGTCACGGCAAGTGGCCCGCTATCCCTGTTGATCTTGGACGATGTCACCAAGCTGCTCCAGAGGAACGCTAACAGCCATCAAGTCGCACTTTGCGGAGTCCTTCCAGCGCTTATGGGGTCCATGCGGTGGACGTTTGGACGGTAACGAGCCATACAGCAGCTGACGAGGGATTCGATCCTGCATGCAGGACACGTGGCCAAGCCATCGAAGTCGGCAGACTTTGACTTTATCCGCGATCTCCTTCATATCGCCCCACATCTTGCACACCTGGAGAGAGGAGATGTGCTCCTCTATCTGCGAGCCACGATAGACCTTCAGGATGGAACGCACGCACTGCAGATGAAAGGATTCCAGGCGACGGACATCACGCTGCCTAACGGTCCAACTCTCAGAGCGATAAAGAAGGACGGCCAGGACAGTCAACGCCCTAAATGGCCATGTTAATAAAGCGCACACACACACACACACGCACGCACACATGTACCCGTACACACACATACACACATGAACACATGCATACACCTTGAACCTTGAACCTTGAACGCCCATTGCCATAGCAATGATAGCGATGGCGTCCTCACACTGAGATTCTAGACCCGAAATCTGCAGGATGGCGCATGCCGCTTGAAGTCACCAGGACGACGGAACACTCTGTCACAGCGGTAGTTGGGGCACGGGATGTCTGGGGCTTCCTCACACTGAGGTTCTAGACCCGAAATCTGCAGTATGGCGCATGCCGCTTGAAGTCACCAGGACGACGGAACACTCTGTCACAGCGGTAGTTGGGGCACAGGATGTCTGGGGCTTCCTTCTCGACCCTCTGTCGACAATACTGAAACCAGACGGATCTCTCCTGCGCTGTGTCATACCAGTCCGCTTCAGACTAACCGATGACAGTAAAGTCCGTGGACACAACATCCCGCCAGCGCATCTTGGGACCATGTTGCGGGCGTTTGCAGGGCAGTTCGCCGACCAGCATCTACTTGGGCAGCCGGGTCTCCTTCATCCGTGCAACGTGACCAAGCCACCGCAAGCGGTGCTTCCTGATCACATCGACCATATTGACGTCCACCCCTGTCAGCTCGCTCAGCGATGCCGACGCCAATCTCTCCTCCCATTGCTCACGACGAGAGATACCGAGAATTGTGAGAATACACTGATGGTGAAAGGTGTTGAGTCGGCGAATATGACCCGCTATGATGGGCCATGTCTCCGCGCCGTAGAGAAGAGCAGGAAGGACAATAGCACGATACACCAGCCGCTTGGTGTGGACCGAGAGAAGTACGCACTGAAATATCGGAGACCTGAGCACGCCGAACAGCCGGGACGCCTGCGCCAAACGAGCAGCGAAGTCCGCATCCACCGTTCTGTCCGCAGAGAGCACGCTGCCAAGGTACCGGAACCCGTCCACCATGTCAATCCTGCTGTCACCACCAAGTTGAACGGGTACAACTGATGTTGGTTGACCCACAGCCATGCCCTTCGTCTTTCTAATGCTGACGGTCAGTCCCATACGCACACGCATAAATACCCAGCCCCCCCCCACACACACACCACACGTGCGCGCGCGCGCACACACACACACACACACACACACACACACACACATTAACACACACACACACATACACACACTCAGACTCAGACTCAGGCATGCCCGTCGCAGTAGCGATGATAGCGAACAGCTATGTTAGACATAGCAACTTGTGCTGGGATTGCACCATTCAATTTATATAATTATTAGTAGTATTCATGGCTAGTTATCATTGTTGAGACGTATTTCCCTGATGAAGGCCTCATGAAAACTGGTTGAGAAAATCTAGAACTCCAAAAACGAGAGAGCTTGGAAGCTCAGGGCCCTGCGCTATGCTTTTTTGCCTAGCTCATCATGCATGTTATTAGAACTGATGGAATTGTTTTTTTCCATTGATTGGCTACATCAAACTTTCTCTTTGCACTCGAGGGTAGTACGACACCGTCTACCACCTTGATTTACCTAGACAAAAAAGCATAGGGAAGTTATAACTTTTTCATTTCTCCTTTATTTTTTAAGACATAACCTGGGATTCGAACCCACACTATCGCCCTGCATGCATTTCCCCGATACTCTTCGCTTACATACTCATTCTTCCAAGTTGCTTCATATTATGATCTTGCATTTGAACGCCCTATTTGAATATTGTGGCCAGCTGTCTTTGATGGTCCGGTACGGGACAGGTACGGGATAGCGCCAGGCATCTTTTCCGTTTGCCGTTCTTCAGCCACAGCTCTCGCCTTCATCTCTGGTGCGGGTGTAATCTACTGACTTTGTACATGCGTTATAATAGACCAATCCCTTTGTCTGGGTTCGTGAAAAGGGCCACGTGTGCAAGTCAGCTCGTGTGAAGTGCATGGTGTTTTGTATTTAGTTGGTATGTGGCAGCTTATGGGACAAAGAGATTTTTGATCCCCGAGCTTGTGTATGTAAATAATGTTTTACGTCGAGTATGACAGCTACAATGCCCAACAATACCACAACGAACTGATCGGCTACATCATTGCATTGCAAAAAATCTGTCTGTTCGAATTACATGCATGATGAGCTAGCCAAAAAAAGCATAGCATAGGGCCCTGCGCGAAAGAAATAGCCTTTCTCTTTGCATTCGAGAGTAATACGACACCATCTACCACCTTGATGACCTAGGCAAAACATGGATAGGGATGTTATAAATAATGTATTGTTCATTTCTCCATTTTTTTCCAAGACATAACCTAGGATTAGAACCCGCACTATCGCCCTCCATGCATTCCCCGATACACTTCACATACATACTCATTCTTCCAAGTTGCTTCACGTTCTGATCTTGCATTTGAAAGCCCTATTTGAATATTGTGGCCGGCTGTCTTTCGTGGTACGGTACGTACGGGACAGGTACAGGATAGCGCCAGGCATGCCGATGGCACAAACAAACAAACAAACAAACACAGAATTAAAGCTGTGTGGACTTTGCATAGCTACGGGAATTAATGTTCTATTTCGTCTTTGATAAGTGCAATGTCCGCCTCGCTAATTCTGCTTATGACCACATAAATGTTCATTCAGAGGCATGCATAATACACTATCATTAGAAACCCGCGTGGACCCAGTTACAAGCTCACTCAGCACCAAAACTGCACACTGGTCTGAAAAATAATAAATACCTTCTGGCTAACAAAGCAATATCAAGCAACTGTGGCTGCCTTATAAAAAAACAATTCTAAATACTGGCCTCCAAGCTCTTACCGCCTGAATTTCTCCATATGCTGGACCCCTTCATACACTGGCATACAAAAGTTAGTAACTTTGTCAGTAACTGCTACTGACTGTAACTGTTAACTGTAAAGTCAGTAACTGTTACTGACTAGGCTCCCCCCCCCCCTCCCTGCATATACTCACTAGCAAACAACTATATCATCACATCTGTGGTAAAAGCAGAGGCATGTACAAATGCTACCAAGAGAAGCAGGCTTGTAACCTTTTACCAACTGACTTAGGATCAAGCCTGCATTCTTGGAAATCTTGGGGACAAAGCATAGGTCATTATCTCCAGGGAATTGTCTTTTCTTTTGGCCAGTCCCCTGCCCGGTGTTGAGACATGCATTGGGGTTTTCCAGTACTTGCTGGCAAACAACTTGTCAACTGACTTAACTTAATATTCATATAGTATTCAGGTTCTTTAGGAATTATGATACTATTGTATTATTGATTCACAGGCAATATGAAAAGGAAACCATTTTTTAATGTGGCATCAGCAGACCCCAGCTGTAAGAGGTACTGCGCGGGCGCGTACATGTTGCGGTACACGTAACTTGTGTACACGTTATGTAAGGGTTACACGTGCTCAAGAGAAACGCATAATACATAGCATGACCCGACAAGTACCACAGCTGTCACTATTGTGCTAACTTTTACACGTTATGACTAATCAGAATCATGCTTATAATTCTTAGAGCTGGGTAACTACAGATAACATGTAAAACTTTAGTCACAGTAGGTTATACATCATAATTGTGTAAGATACACACTGTAGATAGATAACACATGCGAATGTCTTGTTTTGTCTTTACCTGCACACAGCGCGGTTTCCTTCCTGTTCATCACGCTGCTTGGAAAGGACATCTGGACGTGGTCAAGTATCTAGTAGATCTCCAACCCGACACGGTCTCCGTAAAGAACAAAGTGAGTCAAGCAGTCTCTGTCACTGTATTGGTCCTGATTACACACTCCAAGAGTGTGCACATTTGACAAATGACAAACTACATGGTACATTCCCTATATCATGCAGGTCACTTTTCCATTGCAGAAATATTATGTATGTGTTTGTGTTTGTGTTTCGAAGGCACTGTCATTCATAGCGAGGTGCTACTGTGTTGCATTAGATTTTCTGGTAGTAGCTAGGAGGAACATTTCCAGCTGATCAATCAGAGTAGTCTATATTAGGATCCCTTGACTGACAGTAGATTGTACATCATACTGGTATGTAAGATACAGACTGCAGGTAGCTAATACATATGAAGGTATGATCTTGTGTGTCTTTTCCTGCACACAGGACGGTGACCTTCCCATTCATTTTGCTGCTGTGAATGGACGCCTGGAAGTCGTCAAGTATCTACTAGATCTCCAACCCTACACAGTTTCCGTGAAGAACAAAGTGAGTCAAATATTCTCTGGCGGTGTAATTATTATGGGTGTATAACGCAAGAGTGTGCAACTTTGGCCAATGACTGACTAGAATCTAGATTCCCTACATCAGCCCGCATCGAAAAAGTCCTTAGTTTCGTGTAACCCAACCAACCTCTGTTTTGAGCACAGACCGATACTTCTTTGTTGTATGCACTCATGTATGTGTACATCATACGCATGTGGATATACATGTACGTGCTCGCACTTCAAGTTGTGCCAAAGCCAAGGCTCTTTCTTCCTGCTCCAGGTTATGCTCTGGCCGGCTAGACATTTCGGTCCTCTGTTTCGAGTAGACTCGATTGAGTCGGATTTGTTGCATGGTGGTTCTATTTGCCAAACGTAACGTTTTCGACACTGACATATTTTAGTCTAGAGATTTTAATGTCAAAAACGTTTCCGTCACTATGCTGAGTGCGGCTGGACCATCGTCAACAGCTGCATTGTTCAAGTTACGTACCCGGGGCAATTTGTTGGACACTCTTCATTCAGAAGATGTCACTCGCTTCAAAGTGGTGTTTACTTCTGAAACCGGGTCATGCCGCAAGGGTGCTGGCAGGAGTGACAATGAAGGACTTCAATTGGAGTTCGGATGCCGATTCTTTTTCTTTGGGTTGGAGCAACAGGAAGATGTAGTTCCTGGCCCGCGACGGTTGCTGAACGATGTGTTGATGCCCAACGTCTCGGAGATCTGCTGTGCGCGGTGTCTTAGTTTAGGACCAGTTTGACTGTTCTTTTTTACTCTCTTTCTCACTCCTGTGTGCAGCCACACCATATATTCTCACACCCCTAACACACCTCACTCACACGCACCTCTCCCCCCACACACACACATACCCAGACACACACACACACACACACACCTGTCCTGTCCTGTAGAGTCACTGCCGCAAAAGGGTCACGTGATCCCATCACTGGGAAACTTGAGAAAAGAGAGAGAGGACACGACGCTCGATGACGCTCCAGGTGCACGGGTAGTCGCATCCGCTTGCCGCATATGCACACGTGCTGGAAGGCTGAGCGCTCCTCTGCTGTTGGTCTATGCGCCACCCTTGAACAGCGATGCCTTCCCCGTCCCCGGACACCGCGAAAGCAGCGACCACACCCGTCACAATGCGCGGCACAACATCCCCCCGCCGGTGCCGACGTTCCGGTAGTTCCAGGTGGCACTGCGGCATCCACCGTTGAGGCACACACATGCCGGACCAAGCCACCGCGGCTTCTCAGCCACCGCCCACACCGCCCGCACTGACTGGCGCCCCGCTGCTCAGACACAGGCCGCGCACGCTCCTCCAGACACTTATGCCGAGCCATATCTCCTTTCCGTGCAAAATCCCGTCCGCATACCGTACATACCACTTGGGGCGGAGGCTCAGGCACATTGTCAGGCTCTTGGTAGGTGCTGCGCCACTCCGCGCGAGACTCACATGCAACATCATACCATGATGCCTCCACGCCACGGGCACGTAGATCCCGGACAGCACAGTCCTTCCATCTGCGGCGTGGGCCATGTGCTGGGCGACGCTGCAAGAAGGAGCCAAACAGTACCTGTTTTGGGATGCGGTTGTCCGGCATCCACGCCACATGCCCCAACCACTCCAACCGCCGATGTGCAATTTTGTCTTTAATCGTCTCGGAGTCTCCCCAGCGCACCAGCAGTTCTTCGTTGGTGATGTGTTCGTCCCACATCCGGCTTCGAGAGACCCCGAGGATGGATCGGATGCACCTCATGCTGAAGGTTGAGAGCTTCTGCAGGTCATGCTGAAGGGGCGTCCAGCACTCAGAGCCATACAACAGCAGGGACAGAACGCAAGCATTGAATACGCACCGCTTGGTGTGCATCAGCAGATGTGGATTGGAGAATACAGACCTCCGAAGAGCACCGCAGGCCCTGGAGGCTTGGGCAATCCTTGCGGCGATGTCCCGGGACGAACGGCAACCGCTGTCCACTACAGAACCGAGGTATTTGAAATGCGGTACGCATTCCACCTCCGCTTGACCAAGTTGGAGGGGAGCGCGGTCAGTAGGCGTGATGCCGGGGCCAACAACTACAAACTGAGTCTTCGTTGCACTGATGGTCAAGCCGAATCCCGACGCCACCTCGTGAAGACAGCACAATGCTGCCCCCGCTCCAGACCGAGTCGTAGCGAATAGACAAGAGTCGTCAGCAAACTGGGAATCTGTTAGGCAATGGTGTTGGTCGTCACGGCGGGGTTTACGGTATAAATCGCTGCTGTATGCTGAGCGGAGCTCGAAGCCAACCCCGTCAACTCTCCTGACGCGGTGTTGCCACTGGGTCATCACGGCCCACGTAAAGATAAAGGACCGGCGCCATAGAGCACCCCTGGCGAAGACCATTGCCAATGCTGAATGGGTCTGATAATATGTTGTTGAACTGCACCGATGCTGACATGGGGTCGTGGAACGACCGGATGATGTTGATAAGCTTTTCTGGTACTCCCGCACGGCCGAGGACCTGCCACAGACACCCCTGGGCACTGAATCATAGGCCTTCTTCAGGTCGATAAACACAAAAAATCCCTTGGCCTGATGTTCGATTGACTTTTCCATGAGCTGTCGGACGGTGAAGATCATGTCAGAGAAGCCACGCCCTCGCCGGAACCCGCACTGGGACTCAGGGAGAAATTTCTCTGCGAATACCTGCAGCCTTCTCTGAAGGACACTCGCCAAGACCTTGCCGACCACATCCAACAACGCAATGCCCCGCCAATTGTCGCACTGCGACAAATCTCCCTTCTTTGGAATGGGGATGAGGGTAGCATCCGCCCACTCCCGCGGAACGCAGCCATCTCGCCACACATCTCCAAACAGCTCCATGAGCTTGTTGTTGAGCTCCTTGCCACCGAACTTTAGCAACTCTGGCTGTATCCTCGATGAACCAGCAGCGGTGCCATTGCGAAGTCGAGAAATGGCCTTGGAGATCTCATGCATGGTTGGTGGTTCTTCAAGGCTCGATACTACAGGTCGCTGCTCAACGCAAGCCATGATATCGGGGTTGTACGAGCTCTCTGGGTTCCGGACAGTTGTGAAATGCCTCTGGAACCACTTGCATTGATCCTCAGTCGACTGGCACAGGTTTCCATTCTCGTCCTTAATGGCGGAAGTCTTGCACGGAGTTAATCCCTCACATGCAGCGTGGATAGCATGAACGCATTTCCAGACGACTGCCCCGTTGAAGCGCGCCTCTGTCGCCTCCTGTGCCTTATTCAAAATCCAAGCCTCTTTGGCATTTACAACGGCTGCGCGCGCCTGCGATCGAGCAGCCCCGAAGCTGGCCCAATACGTGTCGCCCCTCTGCTGACCGTGGGCAAGCCACTCCGCGTAGCACTCATTGCGGGCGCGCAGAAGGGGCTGTATGGTTGCAGAGTTGTCATTATACCAGTCGGCCTGACGGCGTTCGCTCGGGCCCAATACATCAGCGGCTGCGGCAACCGCGGTATTGCGCACATGGGTCCACTTCTCCCCAACGCTACCATCGCTGCTCCAGCAATCTCGCAATCCAGCAGATAAAGCGGCACGATACTTGTCCGCGGTGGTCACGCAGCGCGGGGGGGGGGGGGGGGCGACGTCCCACATCGTTGACGTCTTGTAACGTGGATGCGCAGGAATCCGATTGATCATGCTCGGCCACCGCCTTACTCCGCAGCTTGCCGACATTAAATCGGCGCCCCCGGCTCGCTCCACATCGGGCAACCCCCACCAGGCGATGCGGGAACTCAAAGACTATACAAAGCAGCTGGTGGTCACTGCCACACTCAGCACCGCGAACAACGCGCACGTCCCTGCAAAATCGCCGATGATCCTGACGCATCAAGATATAGTCGATGCAGTGCCACTGCAGAGAGCCGGGGTGCTGCCACGTCCGCTTGAAGATATCCCGCTTGGGGAACCAGGTGTTGCAGATCCACAAATTATGTATTGCTGCAAACGACAGTAGCTCATCTCCAGAGGAATTCAACTGTCCAAAACCATGCAAGCCGCGCACACCACTCCAGCCATCGTCAGCTGTTCCTGAACCCACACGGGCGTTGAAGTCTCCAAGCAGAATACAGCAGTCCCTGTCAGGAACGCCAGCTATTACCTCCTGCAACTGTTCGTAAAACTGATTTTTACTGGCACGCGGAGCTGCATAAGTCGGAGCATGCGCACTGACTACCGTCACCCATGCAACTTCTCCCCCACGCAGGGCGAATTTGAGACGTGCAGTGACAAGACGAGGGCCCACAGCCCGCCAGACCGAACCACCATTCTTCCACGCGTCTGTTGCAAATTTATTGAGTGCCATGGCGACTCCTTCTCCTCGTCTGTTGCCCGGAGCTCCATCGCCAGGCACGGGGCGACCCGAACACAAGATAGTAAAACCGTCAACGACATAAATGTCATCGCCGAACCAGTGTGTCTCCTGCAATCCAGCCGCCGCCACGCTCAACCTGCGCAGCTCGGCAGCAACACGACGACATTTCTTGTCCTCTGCTACTCGGCCAGAAACGCTCGCCGTAGCTACGCCGCCACTCCTTTCCACAAGGGAGCGAACATTCCACGACCCAAACGTCAAGCAGCGCCGTCCCTCTCTCCCACTCTTCTCCCTCTCCTTGACGTACTTCATAGCTTTTCGGAGCTGGATGGAGATATTCCACTCGGGGGCTCGTCACACCACCGTGAGTGGCGACTTCGGGCGCAGCAAGAGGTGGCGGTATCAAAAAAACTCGCCTCGTCAACCTGCTACGTGGCTCCCGTCGACGGCAGCTCACTGTCTACGTACTGGCCCTGGAGACAACCCTCAAGGGGTCGCTCCAGGCCTCTCTTTCGCCCAAAAGTACTCGAAAAACAAGAAAAAGTCAGGAGCAGAAAAATTTCAAACTGCCTCCTTGGGCAGCTCACACACACACACACACACACACACACACACACACACACACACACACACACACACACACACACACACACACA